ACGTTATTCTATCATTAGTCGGTTTTTTTCAACATTTTTCGCAGTTATTAACAATGAAAACAGGCAACGGTTTATCAAATGAGCCTCAGTCCATTCTTTGGTACTCAACAAATCGTCTAGTTCAAAGAAGTAACGATCTTTCGATTGTAAATCACTTTTCATTTTACGGGATTAAAAATTCATGTACTACTGATTCATCATTGCTAGGGACTTTCCCTTTCCCATTTAATCAAATAGACAAATATTCTATTTAAAACAATGACGATAGAGAGGTCAGAGCCAGTTTCTTGCAATTTGTTTTTTTCCCCGAAAAGAGTACAGACCTACAAATTTGTTCATTATCAGGCTCTGTTGCCCAGTTTCCATTCAAATAGAGCTTGGAATCTGTTTTATGATTTTCGGATCAGCATTGAAATAAATTAAAAGATGTCTTCGAGAAAAAAAAAAGAGAAGAATAGACTGGTTAGAGAAAAGCGAACAATCAAAAGAAAATTGCCATTCCTAGGAAATTTTTCCAGAGACGAAGCGAGGGATTTTGAAGGTGTACGCAAGGAAAGAAAAGTTAGAGCGCAATAGGCGCTCCAAACTAGGGGGGTCTGGAGGCATCTTCCCCGAGAACATTTTTGAATTTAGGGTCTCGGAAATGCCTTTCCTGCGTTTTCTGTAGGACATTTTTGGTAAATAAATACGAAGGTCGAAAATGCAGCAGTTAGTTGTTTAATAGACACCAATATAATGCGAAAAATTAAAGAGTCATCCCGATTTAATGATTTTTTTTTTCAGGAACAAACAAAAAAAAATATATCAATATTTTTTTCCAGCCAAATTACAGCTGTACGCACGGGCGTATGTGCGTCCAAGGACGCACACCACCCATTTTGCGTTTGCCAGTTTTAATTCATTGTTCTCCTTAGTTAGATAAGAAATGTTAAAAAGATAGAGATATGCCGCCAAAGGGTAAAAATTTACAGCTTTTTAGCAGTTATTGAATGAGGCTGAAGGTGAACTGAAAAATTATGTAGATCGGCAGAAACGGATAACAACCTCCGAGACCGATAATATAGTAGATCATAAAAATTCAAGATATAAAGGGATTTTCAGTTTAGCAGATATTCTTGAAATAGCAATTGCTTATCCGTCTAGTTGTATTTTTGCTGTTCTTGCTATGTTTTAAGGTGATTCCCAGGTTTTGCACTGCGCATAACAAGATAACCTCTGTAAAAAAGAGCATGTGAAGTAACATCATTAAAATGAAGTTGACCGAAGAGAAACTCTATTGCAATTTTTGCTTGCGGTTGTTTTTTTCCGAGGTGAGACTCAATGTGGTGGGAATGTGCATAACGTAAGCAGTAAGCGTGTTGCTGAATTCGACTTCCTCACGGAGAACCTCGATAGTGGATGTTAGTGCTTATTCACTTTGATTTTCATTTAAACGCTTTCTTTATCACATTGTGTCCTAAATGTGATATCTCGATGTAAATTCTGTAAAAACGGATTTTTTAATACTTTCTTCCCCCTTTTGCATACATTCTATTTTGAAACTCGCCCCAGTCCTCTATCAAAAATCAAGGAAAATGCATTTGGCGCGCACGTTCTGCAGCTCTACCGCAAAAACGAGTACGGTGACCCCCATTTTTTATTTCATGATTTTAATAAGGACAGTGCTTCCTTTCGGTGAGAAAAAAATTGGCACAAATCTATGTTCAGTTTCTTGGCAATTTTACTAAATTTTACGGATTGAGCTATCACGTGTCGAATAGCCCGTGTCCAATTTAATTCTACTTTGGAGCGTAAAGTAAAAACAAGGGCATTAAAAGGCATTTTTCTGTTACGTAAGTGGATAAACAATACATTAAGGTCAAATTCTGTACCATACCACATGCATCATTGAAAATATCTTTCCTTTTTGTCTAGTTTTGGGCTGCGCGCGGTTTTTGTTAAAGGGTCCAAAATAGCCGTATTTGTCAGCATTGTGACGTCAAAACGAGCACGGTGACCCTCACTTTTTATTACCTTTTTATCATCTTCTTGACTTGTTACATCAGTGTACCAAGTTTCATCGACAATCTATGTTAGGTTCTTTTACTAGGGAATCACCTTAAGACAGAAGTTCGGCTTGATTTCTTTTTCGCGACTATGTGTGAAATTTTCTGTCATCACTTCAAGTTCCTACCGACAGCGAAACAGCTTAAGTATTAAACGCAACCTATTCGGTTGCCGTCCCTTTTTCTAGCGATATCCTGTACTATTGACGTCATTTTACCGGATATCGCAAACTAGGCCTAACTGCAATAATCCCCTGAATCACCAAAAAACTACTAGTACCCGGATAAGTCGTGGCAAGTAAGAAGAACTGTCTACATTACAGTTATTGTGGATAACATAAGTCCGGCATAATTGCTGTCATTGAACAATAAAATTAAAACGCTGCTTATGACGCCATGAGGCCTCTTGGCTAAAAGCACCAGCAAAAACATTACTTATCTAATTCCAATCATTAAATATATTTTTACGCATCTCAGAGTTCTAAAAATCTTAAAACTCGCTGTATTCATCTACAAAAATCTCCAGACTTTCTTAAAATGTTTTAAACGCCTAAAGATCTAAAAAATTCCCGCCGGAATTTTATAGCTAAGACTCCAGCTAAGCCTATCGCAAAGGTCTTCCAAATTTGGTCAACGCTGGTGGGTTATGAAGAATTATAGCGGGAGGATTTGAGCCAATAAGAAATGGAATGAACGATAATGAAATCAGTAGAGAGTATTTAGCTCAAAGATTCAACAGTTATTCGGATCTTTGTGGAATGTCAATCGAATAATTTACCTTCCAAACCATCTAAAGTCAAAAGCATATAGGTAACAGTCTCGTAAGACATTTAAATAAAAAGTTTCTAATACACTGTTCTTATGTAAGAGTACTTCGACTCAACAAAAAGTCAGCAACATAGCGGTTTTAGTAATCTTCTTTTTATTGCGAATATAGGTCCCAAAATCAGTCACACGTTAGTATTGATGCATTCTTACATGGATGAAGAAGAGCTGGTCTGTTCGTACGCCTGTTACTCATGGCTTGGCCTGAAGACGGGTGAACTCCCCAGGTAGCCGGTGGGCCGGTACATCGTACTATCAAGAAAATTGTCAGTGTCTCCCAGCTTTAAAGTTTCTAAAATTGACAAAGCCTGCCAGAAACAAGAGCGGAATAATTCTCTCTTGCAGAAATCAATGCCAAAAAACACAACAGTTCCCATGTATTTGATCAAAAAGTTAAACGCTAAAAGATTTTTAAAATACATTTAAAAAAACATTTTAAAAAGTGAACGACATTTCGGCGCTACGTTAAGCCATTATCAAGTTGAAAAGTGAGAAAGTATAAGGTGTAAAACAAGAGACTATAAAGGGGACAGAGAGGGCATCCCCCATATACACCCTATTCCATAGGTAATTCGTCTCGAGTTTTTTTTAGAATCGGGATAAAGTTACCTCGCGCGAGGCGTGGATGTTTCGTGGAGGTTTCGCATGACCAAACACCGTGCAAAACATGTCGGGCGAGAGGCAATGAAAGCGTTAAAAGATCGAGAGCATTCCTGAATATTGAAGCGAAATGAGTCGGCGCTCACCTGGGAAAAAGGAATCGCTGGACTCTTTCACAACCCGTGAAATCAGTTTAACTCGAAGTTGTCGTAACTTCAGTGCTTTAATAAAATGAGAAATTTCGCCGGTCTATTGAAACCGGTCGTTTGTACAATTTAGGGAGTTTAAGATCCAACGACGCGGACGACAACTAGAACGTCAAAAAAAACAATAGGTTTAATCAGCAAAACAACAACTTCGCACGTGCAACACACTTTTTTGTTCATTTCTTTCCCGTTTTTGCACGACTACGACGTGAAAATGCCTAATATCGCGTTTTATGGAGGACGTAAATACGCAACGACGAAATTTTATTTCTCTTTCTGAGCTTGAATATGGTCCCTTGAAATTCAGCTTTAGGAGGGTTCGCCTACAAATTACAAAGTAAGTGGGTAGGAATAATCGCTATAAAGACTGAAAAAAATAAACATCAAACCAGAAATTGCTCTATTCAAACTGTAAATTATAAATGATCCTGAGAGAATATTCAGTGTGTTAAGGTCTGTTAAGGATTTCCCTGCTCTACTGTTAGCTCTATACAAGAGAGGAAGGGCGATTCTTTTTTAATTTCGGTTTCGCTGACACAGCTTTCGCAGAAATCTCGCTGTAGTCGTTTTCGTCGACAAAAGGAATAGCAAAATCGCTCTCCGCGTCTTCCCCCATTTTGTTCTGCGTCATTTCGTGAAGGACGCGTGGCTCTCAGCGTGGGTCATCCACGCGGAACACATTCGCGCTATGTGATTGGCTGTTGTCTAATCCCCCTTGAGATCTGTGGTGTTAAAAATAACTCGAGACGAATTACCTATGGAATAGGGTGTATATGGGGGATGCCCTCTCTGTCCCCTTTATAGTCTCTTGGTGTAAAACGAATATATAAAATTTGAAACAATACATAAAACATTTGCGGGTCCAATGGGTATAATTCCCAAGGTAAAAAACACAATAAGAGAAAAAAATAAGAAATGTACGAAAGTGTCATGTAAATAGTTTGGCGCAAATGGCGTCGGCTTGCGTGTTAAGAGAAGGCTTGATGTCCTTTATGTATAACATCTCGTAGACTAAGCAATCAAACTTGCTGTTACATTTCCTCAGAACTTTGAAAAGATGGTCAGTCTTTGTTCTGTTGTTGCCATGCTGTGTTTTTAAAAATCTTTTAGCGTTTAACTTTTTGATCAAATCATTTTCGAAAGGCTCTCAATATCAGATGGTTTGTAATTCGATCAAATTCCGACGGCCGACGATGTGCCTGCAAGGCTTTCGGGGAATTTTCGTGTCCTTGCGATTGCACGAAGCTGTCTGGCGGAGAGGTAAGTCACGTGAGACACCACATGTGATGTGAGGAGCGTCGTTTCGCAAGGCAGCCATTACCGTACGTCCACGCTATTTTCCGCGATTCAATTGATCAAGATGACTCGCGTTTTTATAGGAAGACTTTCAATGAGTGCCAGAGAAAGTGATGTTGAGAAGTTCCTTCGAGGTTATGGCAAAGTGAGAGATATCAGCTTGAAAAGAGGTTATGGATTTGTGGTGAGATACCAGTGTGCAAGCATAAGCTAAAATAACTTACGCTTAGTCTACAAGCTCAAATGTCTTGTTTTTTGTAAGAGCGTGGTCTTTGCTTACCAGTTTCGGGCTTCTTTAGGAGTTTGATGATTACCGAGATGCAGACGACGCAATTGCTGATTTAAACGGCAAAGAACTCCTAGGAGAAAGGTGGGGGATTCATTAATAAAATATCACAAAGTGTCAATTTGCATAAAACGTTTTTGTAATATCTTTTGAATACAGAATAATCTACGTAGGTTATGTCTTATCAGTTATTCAACAACCTTTGTAAACGTCAGTGGTTGAAAGCAAGCTTCATATTTATTAGAGTTAAGAGTTTTGCTTTAGATTTAAATGATAACTTAAAGTAATAATTAATAGTTATTTCCTTATGAATTATCTAAGCAATAGACCAGAAATTGCCTTCCTTTCTGGAACTGGACAACGCACGCCGATCTAAAAATCGATTGACCAATAACAGAGCGGCAGATTGACAGCGAAGTTGGGTTGAGTCCTTTCCGTGCTCTTTCGCCTTCTTTTTGACGTTGCGTTGTCTCTGCTAAATCTGTCTGATATCTTTCACAAAGGCTATTTAGAAGCAAACAATAAACAAAATTCTACACTTACTGTACCTTAAATACCCACCTGCACATAACGTGTTCTTCAGGGACCACTGACTTCTGTCCCTAAGGTGGTCTCTAGCTAGCCTATGGGTTTACCAGTGTGATAAACCACGCAGGATGGTGGGAGAACACGCGGAAAGTTTGTAAATCATGAGCCAAATATCCCAAGTCGGTTATCACGCCTGTAAACCCATAGAAAGTGTGGTCTATTGCTTTTATAACATAACTTTAAGTTTTCTATGAGTTTACTGGCACAATAAACCATAGGTTTTTCACCAATCAGAACGCGCGCACTATCTTGGTTATGTTATAAAAATCACTGATGTATAAGCAAACGTAGGAAAAAAAAAAGGAACAACTGGCTATTGATATTCATCCCTAGGCGTAGGAAACTTTACCCCAGATTGCTTTCATTCTGTCTATAAGCAAAATGTATTTTTGACTTTCTTGATATGTTTAAAAAAACTTTAGCCTGAGAAAACAGCCAAAATTTTCGTCACTTTTCACTTTCTACTTGATAGTAATCTACACTGTCCTCAAGCCAAAAGCTTACCATTCTGAAGTGTCTGTCAGCCCTGGTTTGTATTTTTAAAATAAGTTTGTAAACAGACAACATGGCCTTTGCTTCGATGATTGTTTCATGAAGAATGAGGTTGTACAAAGTAATGGCGCTTTCCCTCTGCTTTTAGTGTATGATTGCAACACTTTTGCTCGAGGTACATGTAAGTTTGTTCCTGTTTTCTTTTTGTTTGGAATTAACCCATTCGCTCCTAGAGATTTTGCCGAAAAACGCGTTTTGAAGCTAGTCTAGTGGTTTTCTGGTCACTGTCGTGCTATAAAGAGCTAAAACTTACCACAAACTGGTTTACAGGTCGAACACTTCGTGGTCTTCCGATCCAGATGCAAAATATCAGCTTGCGAAGTTCGGGCATGCGCAGAAAGCAAAATTTCGACATAGTTTTTGGGTTTAAAAGTGACACAGCAGTCTTGACTTTTACTTTTCGCTTTCTCTCCTCCCTTCTTTTTTTGCTTTTCTTGCCTCATTTTTTTTTTCTCTTGCTGGGCATTTAGTAGGCTTGATTTTGGTGGGAAGAGTTTTTAGGAAAGCTTTTAGGATCTTAGGATTAGGCGAAAGGAAAGGTAGGTGGGTAATGGGACAAGATTTTCATGGAGATTTTCAGGTCAATGTCACGTGGTTTTTTGCTTGTTTCTCCGGTGTCCTTGACTGAATTGTGCTCATTCTGGTATGGTTTGAAAGATCTCTTCACTCTGCACAAGTTAGTGAAGAAAGTTGTCCTTGACCGTTAAAACTGATGACGTCACAATGGGTAGAAAGGACCTGGATCCGCACGGGCGGTTCAGGGGCGAATGGGTTAAGGTCTGTTTCAGGGCGTGGCGCGAGTGAACCTCTATGCAGTGAGGAGGGTCTATTTTTTTAACGGCGGAGACTGGGCGATTGAAAACAGATCTGGGCGAGTGCAATTTAAATGTCACACGCCTAGTTGATGAGTGCTGCAAAATTTTAGTTTCCATTACCCTACCTTGTTATGAACGAATAACTTAAGCAAGTAATATTATTATTATTGATTGCAGTGTTGCACTTGAGTTGGCCCGAGGCAAAAGAGCTGGAGGTGGAGGTGGAGGAAGCAGAGGTGGTTTTAGAGGGGGAAGAAGACCAGGCTGGCTTGACAAGTAATAACATAGATGTGCTCTTTTAGGCCCAGCTCAAACATTGAAATTTTCATGTATACCTAACCTAATAGCTGTTTGGGTCGATCCAAATGATGTAAGTTCAACAGTTGACTCGGCATGATCTTGATGTACAATGGTCTGCAATGTAAATTATAGTAATTTTTGCATTAGGTTCGGCACATGAAAAGTTCGACGTTTGAAATCAAGTTGCTCTGCAGTCGAAATTCCCATGTGGGTCACTTTAACTTTAATCATAGGTCGACCGAAATTAGATATGTCAGACTTAACTGATTCAAGTGTCGATGATTCTCTTGATGTACTCAATTGAAGGGATTAGGTTCAGTACATGAAAAGATCGACGTTTGAGCAGTTGAAGGTCTGTTATGTGGCCAATTACATTAATGCATGGCTGCTATAGTTGATTTTGCTAAGAACTTATGTCATTAGAAGCGGAATAGCATTAGTATCAGTGACCTTGAATATGTTTCTTAAGTTAAACCCTCTGACCTTGAAAAGTGAGTAATACATGTGATCCCAATTGTGGGGATTTTTTGTCTTAAGAAAGCACATTGAATAAATGCAAGGTCTATTTTAGTATCAATTATTTTTCTCTCCAATGTAACCTGCTCAGCACTGTGTTTCAAAGAGGCAGTGAAGTGAGGCAGTCTTGCAGAATTCCCACCGGTGTTTTGATCTGTGCATGAGCTGAAATTTAGTTGGGAATAATAAAATTGAAAGTTGTAAGACTTTTAAACAGATACATGTATTGAAGAAATAAATACTTTACCACTTTGAGAAGTAGAGTACATGTGTACCTCCAAATTATTAAAATAAAATGCTGTTGAAAAAATCTCCACATAATAATGTGTATTTGAACTTTTGAACTTTTTGCTTTGATTATTTACAATTGAATAGTTTCAACTGTTCTTCCCTCCAATTTGAACATGGAAAAAAATTCCACTTATTCCCTTGTCAGGGTGAGTATCCTTTCATGTTGCAGAAGAGTATGCAAGACATGTATTTATACATTTTTTCTTTATTTCCTCTTGCTGGGGGTCCAGGTATGGTCCGCCTGTGAGAACACAGTACAGGGTGATCGTGGAGAATATGTCAAGTCGCACAAGCTGGCAGGTGATTTTGTAGATTGCTTTATAATAGGGCCTAATTCTTAATTTAGGTTAATGTTCTTGTTTTCTATAACAGACGAATCAGGATGCTGATATTATTACATGTGGAGAGTTACGTGTAATTTCACTTCCATGTATTTAAGTCTAGCAAGGGCCCGTTTTTTCCCAGTTCTTTCTTTATAATATTCTATTAATTAAGACATTATTATTTTTTGCAATCCTCAAGTAATGTTGTTGTAAGTTGTGGCATTGAGTTCAGTGCTCACTGACAATGTTTGTATGTAAAACTTCCTGTCCACATAGAGTATATGTGATGTTTGTAATAAATTATTGCATATTACATGTTTGTGACAAATTGGTTAGTGAATTACCTATTCTGGTTTCGTCTCTATGTATGTAGTTGCACAGAGTACATTTAACAAAGAAACAGAAAATAACTCCAAACAAGACAATTTTTTTTGTCTCTTTGTTTTTGCTATTATCTGTGCTGGTACATATGTTGAGGGTTTAAAATTTTTTAACCTGAGTTGATTCCCTGTTTGCTTTGTCTCCAAGCCCTAATTATTCGAATTAGGGCCAGGAGACAAAGGAAATTGAGAATCAACGTTGGTTAAAAGATGTTATCTTGAATATAATTTTAAACTGTAACATGTAAAACTAAGAGAACTCAGAATTTCTGTGGCAGTTTGTGTGTCCAACTAGTACATTTATTGTAAATAATATAAAACAGAATTAAGGGGATATAAAGAATTAGATTATTGCTTTGTGTTTGAGCATAGAGGCTTTTGAATGAAAACAGTCAGCAAAGGTTCCCATTCTTAAATTTTTATTTGTTTGTTGACAGGGCATTAAGGAATAAGCGCTTGATATTGACTAAGCAAACATTACTAAAGAGATGTTGGCTGTTTTGAGAGAGGTTCCTTTAATGTGTCACTACCTTGCGATGGTTGTGAAAGCGTGCGAATTAAGGATGTGAAGTGACTATAGTGATATGGGTACAGTGATAGATGGGAAGCCTTCTTGTCATCTGTGTGAGGGATACTAATCTAAAACTGTGATTTATGAGAAATTGAAGAAAGTTGGTATTCAGGTAAGACAGAGAAGACAGTTGGTTTGAAATGATCAAGAAAGATGATTAAAGAGTTTTGACAGAAGAAAAAAAAAACATTTTACTATAACTATTTTGACATTTTAATTTCGTTCTAGGCGGTTACAACTTTGATAAACTAATTTTAATTTTTTGAAGCATTTTGAAGGGTCATTAATAAAGTTTGCCTCATTTGAACTGCCAAGGGATTAGTTTGATTTGTATGTCGACATAAGCAAACTCTGGTGATTCAAGTTTGAAAACATTCGAAACAAATTAGTGTGAAAACATCACTAAAATAATTAACAAAATAGTCTTTCAATTTTAGTGTAGAATTTTCTGAAGGAAAAATCAAGGACAATTATTGTCGTTAAGGGTACATGTATCGTCATTTTTCTACTGCCAAAATGGTGACATCTTTTTGTACATGTGTTATCTTCACAGGACCTCAAAGACCATCTTCGACAGATGAGCAATGCAAAACTAACATATGCTGATGCACACAAGAAGAGGGTTGGAGAAGGGTAAGTGAATAAACTGAATTATCATTCGATGCAAACTTTTCTTCTTTTTTATTGGCTGAAAGCCCACCATGTGACCTGCAAATAACTGCCTACAAATAATGGTGTCCTCATGCCCAATGTTGTCCAACTGTGTTTGGCTGCAAATAATATTCTGCTCATGTGTAAACAAAACCACACATGATCGTTCTTGCGTGAAAAAAGGCAGATCGCTTTGCTTCCCGAAGATATTCATTAAAATTCAAACTTGGTGATCAAATGATAAAACAATAATAATATTATTATTGAACTCGGTTATCGCAAAATTTTGTGATTTTCCAGTGTCACACATCAATATTATTTGATGTGCGAGACACTGATTATTTGATAATTGATCTGTTCGCCACTGACAAATCATGATATTTTGCACAACCTCGTCCATTAATTGTTAATTATTTGCTAATCAAATCACTAATGCTTTAATTGAGAAGTTACAATTGAGAAGAGATTACGTTTATGGCGTAATATTCTTCATTTTTTCCTCGTAGCACTGTAGAATTTGAATCTCGTGAAGATATGAATGAGTGTATCAGGAAGGCAGATAACACAGAACTTGGTGGCCGCAAGATACGGCTGGTTGAAGTAAGTGCATGTAGCCCCATTGTGCCTGTCTTCTTGTTTTGAGAAGTATACAAATAAGAAAGTACTGTAACCAGGGCCACTTAGACAGAGTTGACCAATCAGATTACAGGAAAATAACTATGTTTGAAGAAAGTTGGTTGTTGGCCAATCAGGTGCTCATAATAAAACAACTTACTTAAAGCACAAAATTTAAACACTGATAGCAAACGTTTTTCAATAAAGCAAAATGTTTCACCAGACAATGTTTTTCTGTTCGAGACTTTACATATAACACCCAGGGCCCAGTTGTTTGAAGCTTGATTAGCGCTTAACCCGGGTTTCTTTTTTTTATGTTCAAAAGCATTTTCTCGGATTGAAATGTTTTTTAAGCTTTCAAATCTGAATTCAAATCTTGCACTAACTCTGGGTTATTTTAACCCAGTTTTGAACAAATCTGCCCCAGGAGACATATTTGTCTGACAGAAGCTGATATTTTGTCATCTACCAGCAATTTCTTCACTACCATTGCTGCACGTTGTAATAACATCATGACCAAAAGTCAAAAATTAAACTAAAGTTTACTGCTTTTGCCTGCGACATTCACTCTACTAATGGACCTCTTAGGAAACATGGGCTTTTGATTAGCGGGTTCAAAAGGTCAGGTCTGTAGGTTGTCATTTATTTCAATTACGATTGACAACTAACTTTCATGGAATGTATTATTTTCCTGTAATCCAATTGGTCAACTTTGTCTAGATAGCCCCGCACTTGTTACACTTGTTGCTGTAACATAGTTTTTGACCCATTGGTATAGTTATAATATTATTGCTTCGTCCTGAGTTAAAAACTCTTTAATATCATTGCTATGGTATGTTCTTATGTCAATAAAATTGTTTGTTACCATTCTTGTGGTAAAGGATTAAGCTGTTAAAAATAAAGTGGTATCATTTATCAGTCAAATATTATTTAAAACTTACTGTCATGATCAGCTATTTTGATGTTTTTTTTTTTTTTACTTTGTAGGATAAAGGTCGCAGTGGCTCCCCTCCTAGACGTGGTGGCTACAGCAGAAGATCTCGATCTAGGTCTCGATCACGCTCCAGATCAAGGTCACGCTCTCGCTCTCGTTCGCCAAAAAGACGATCAAGGTAATGTACTGTACACATCTTTTAAGAGAACATTTTATATACACTGCCAAGTAGTTATGTATAGTAGTGAGTGTTTGAACAAGTAGTTTAACTTCTGAAGTCAATAGTTCAAGGAAGTTATTCTGGTACACTCAGTTTTAGATTCTGTAATTAACCTGTTTATTATTGAGGTCATAACTTGTTAGGTGCCTGCCTAGTAGTTAAGCTCAGTGCAGCAAGGTAAAGGAGCAAGGTAAAGGCAATAAACTGTATGGTAGCTGTACAGCGGAACCTCGATAATTATAACAAGCCTTTGTATAATGAAGTCATCTGTATTACAAGTGGTAATCTTCACCCCACCACCAGTAATGGTACATGTAAAACATATGGAAAAGAACCTCAATACAACTAAACTTTCGTAGTGGCATCCTTTGGCATTTCGTTTTAACATTCACAGTTCCACAGTAGTTGATTTAATATTAAATCATTGGTGTTTGTTTGTAGGTCTTTGTCCCGTTCTAAGAGTCGTTCAGCCTCAAGGTCCCCTGCACGTGCCCAGAAGCAGTCTCGTTCACCATCCCCGTCCTCTCCTCGAGGTGCATCACCTGGTGGGAAGCGGGAAGACAGTGACAACTGATCATGCGCATTATGGGACAGACTGTTTTACATTAATTGTTCCTAATTTTTGCAAAGCCACGGCGCTTATTGTATTGACTTCGATAAAGTTATGTTAAACTTCCACTTAACCTTTTTTAAAGCAAGTGATGTAAGAATGAATGATTTACCTTGGTCTACACATTAGTTTTATATTCATTACTGTCACATGTAGGTTTTGCTTCCTGGCTTGTAATGTGCATTTCTTTCCTCAGAATAGTTGATATTGATGATTTGTTTATGTTTACTTTTTAAAAGTCTGCACTTAAGGAAGCAATAATATTTATGAGCTCATAGTCCCTGCATATTGTATGAATAGAATTTTTTCAAAAGATAAGTGTTATAAAATATATTATCCATTTGTTTTGTTGAACTGTTGCTCTGAATAAAATTTGTGAATTAAAACAAAGTATGTATCTTTTTACTGACACTAAAATAATTATTGTTTTTCTGTTTGTCCTTTGAACAAGAACTCGCACTTTGCTTGCCAAGGTCCTTATCTTGCTTAGCTTGCGAACAGCAGACGCATCTCCGGTCGTCGCTTCTCTCCCTCCAAGCGACGACGGGAAATGCGTCTGCTGTTCACAGGAGCCAGAAGACTCTGGGCACAAGATTGCCTGCAGGCTACCACACTAGAGAGATTTCACATTGGTTGCCGTGTGGTGCAGACGGATGGGCATACAGTCGTGTGACTACCAAAGTTGCTTGGATGGATAGATAACCAAATAATTATAATTATTGTTAGCAATAGGGCTCCGCTCGCGCACACGAACAGTGCGTGTGGAGCTCCGCTTTAATACAGAGATAACATTTGGGTTACCTTGTGTACCTACTACCCATCATTTTTATGGTTTCGGTGACAGAATTTAGTGCTGAGAAAACCAGCACTTCATACGTTTCTCGCTGCTGGTGCTCTCAAGCCCAAGTCAAATACACCCTCTGCTTCTCAAGCAAACATAAGGGCCTTTTCTTTGGCACCCCTTTGGTACAGTGCTTTTTTCAGATTAATAATTAATCTAAAAAGCAATTATTGTTATTGGATAAAGAACAAATCATAGACTGTTTACAGTCTCCTATTTTTCTGTAAGTTCATCTGGTGGCCATCTTAGTTTCAAGTGCCGCAAGGGAGAGGGGCTGGGAGGAAGCCTCCTCTCAACCCACCCCCTGCCACCCGATACTCCCACCCAAAGCAACAGCTCAGGTAAATTGAGGATGCCACGTGGCTAGGTGGTTAGAGCACTGGACTTGCAATTCAGGGGCCCGAGTTCAAGTCGCACCCTGACCGCTAGCTGGATTTGTTTGCAGCAATCCCAAGTTCAAATCCTCAAACACCCTTGTAAACATCCAACTGGTTTCCTCCCCCCAGTTGGGATTCTTAACCCCATTTTGTTTGATTGGAAGTTTTTGTTCCAGGGATTTGCTCGGCCACATAAGCATTAGTGCTATAAATACTGCCAAGGGTTAATCACCGAGTTTTATTTTTTTTGAAATGATCGTGGTTCAATTAGTCTTGAGAATGAGATCTGAACAATGTTCTCAACTGCAGGTGGAAGAAGATTATGATACAAGTATAAAAGCATTGGGATTTTTATGTCATTTGCTCTAAAAATTGTTCAAATTGCCCTTTCATACCAAACAACACTTTTTTTTATTAACAAAGTTCATTTTGAGTTTGTTCATTCTAGCACTAACTCCTTGGTGTGTCTGACCCACTGTTACCAACATACCAACAGCTTAAACTCATTGTTTTGGTTGTCTGTGGCCACGCTGAAATGTTTTCCAGCAAGGATCCTTTCAATAATAATATTGCAATGAGCACATCTGTGGGTTGCAATGGAGAAAAGCTCTTCCTGAAGCTCTGGCCAATGTGAGAGATATAATGCTGAAAACCAGTTTTGTGAAACTCCAGTCATCTGACAGAGGGTCAGCAGATATTATTATAAAAGGGCAATCTTTTACGTAGAATTTAATGTTTGATATTCCATTAGAAAATAATGTGAACTATACTTAGTGTTGATAAATTAATCTAACTCTTCACACAGGCTGTCATGATGTCACCACTTGCTTGAGGGGCTGTTCAAGGTAGCCAGCAAGGGCCACTGTCTGTTGGCAGGAAGAAAGTTCAAATAATTTTCAGGTGGCAGGTTGAATAGTAAAAAAATTAAAATTACAATCAGATGTTGTAGGTATAATCTGTCATCAAGATAAACTATTTTTTTCCTATGTATCATTAAGGCTAGCTAGAAACGAAAATCCAAACTTGAAGCATACATTGTGAAAGTTACATGTAGGACTAACCATTGACTGTGAGATGGTTAATAAATATAGGATAGGCAGCAAACTAAATTACATTTTTAAGTCAATTTTTTGGACCCCTAGAAATTGTGCCAGACTGGTGAATTCTTTTATTTTTTCTTTCAATTTGTAGTCTGGTTTTTACTATGATTGATAACATTTTATTTTTATCTCCAAGGATGTTAAACTTATTTTGTAAAGCTAGCATGAATTTTAGACATTTGATATGTCAGATATGTCCGAAATTAAGGCTACTATAAAGTGCCATGGATTACACTGAATAAAATAAATTTGTTATCACTGTTATCTCCAAAACTTAGAAGGAACACTGTTTGAAATGTTACTTTACCTTTGCCTTTAGCATTCCAAGACCAACTGATTCCTGTGCATACAAACACAGAATCAAGTTGGCTACTTTAGTAATTGCAACTTTCCCATTCTGTAAAGAATTCGAAAAACACACAAAAAAATTGTAAAAACAGAAATCTAAGAGCCCAAACTGTGCTCTATGCAAAATTGTGGGGAGCCCAAAACTCTGAACCTGTAGGAAACCCAGGTTGTCCACCACTTGAGGTTTGAGGAAAAGTTAGGATTTGGACCTTGTTGCCTAAAGCCAAATTAATGTAAGTTGCCAGGGGCAACCAGGCATACATGTACAATACTGTAATATAATTTGTCTATAAATATGACTATTGCATTGTATTTTTTGAGCCTGAGAAAACGGGCAACATATTGCAACACCACCACTGGTTTCCCTGCGAAGTGACTTCTGAGGAATGAGTGCAGAAATTCCATACTGATGACGTGTCACTACCCAGATTTGGGTAGTGCGTCTGATTGGTCATGCGGCAAGGACAGTTTCCTTCAACCAATCAGAAGCACCCCCCAGATCTGCGTAGTGACATGTCATCAGTATGGCACTTTTGCATTCATTCCTCAGACATCTTTTTGCAGGAAAACAGGCTATAAACTCTTTTGCTTTATTAGCCTTGAAAACTACATGTAGTTGATTCTTGATGAATAAACACAGTGTGAATTTTAAAGTGTGTTACTGGAGGGAACAGTTGAGTATACAAACCTCACAGTCCATAAAGATCATCTTAAGCTCATCGTTGTGGAAGGCCATTTTACCATTCTTTTCATAGGCTGCCCATATACTAGAGGCAATAGCTGCTGTGACTTTGGCATCTTTGTCTCCTGATCCAGCATATGATAACAATGATCCTTCTTGATTAATAAGTCTGTGAGGAAAATGCCAAAATGTCAAGTTCTTCACTTAAGTGAATAGAGTGGCAAATGAATTCAATTCTGCGCAGGCACTCCAAGCTCAATTCACATGAAGCATACATTTGGCAACTATAAACATTACAACATTTGTGAGGTGTGTTTCAATGGTCGGTTTGAAGATTATGAAGATTTGCATGGGATAGTAACCAAATAAAATATAAGGTTAATTTTTGCATAAAGTTAAGTAACTTACTATCTTTTGATGTTGTTTTCCTTGCCATTTGCTTTTCAGCCCAATTCTACCTATTTCGATGATTTACATGTATCACCTCCTAAATTACCATAGCTACGAGAAGGACAAGGTGGAACAGGTTGGACTGGGATGCCCTCTGGTCCAAGTTACACAAAAAGACAGGTAAAATAAGCCTGCTCCCAATTTTTAAATTCTCCTATATGATCAACGAAGGGAAGCACGCATTTCCTGCTAGCACTATCCCAAACCCATTAAAGCAAACTGTAACTATTTACTGTCCAGCACCCTAAAAATTTATTAAATTTCGTAAATGAGACAAGAGATAAATCTTGTGTGGGCCTAGACAAATTAAAACTTGACCAGGGAACTCCTGAAGCAAACAATATTATTGTTTGACGGGTTCATTATTGTTACCGTGCATGCTATCAGAACATTAACAATTGCCAAGCTGGCTTGTCTGAGTTCCTTTCAAAATACAGTCAAACCTGTATATAACAGACCTGTATACAGTAGCCTGCGTAGCAAGCGTTTCCAATCGAGTTATTGCGCGAAAGTTAGAGTGGAAGCAAAAAAAAGGTTGAAGGGGGAGGGGGAGGGGAGAAGAGAAATCGCTTGCCCGCAAACCCCACGATTCTGGAAAAAGCCCCTTGATATTTCATGGTTCGGTTCATTTGTAAATTGACAGCTCGTCAAAATAGAAACATAACAAACAGACTACCCCTGGATTACCAGATTTGTAAAATTACTTTGTTCTCTAATAGAACACGTTCCAGGCGCTTACAAGAACTGTAATAAAAAAGATTTACGATAAAAGAAGGTTAAAACTATGAACGAATGCTACGGAATTTCTTGTTTTTTATTGTGTGGCTCTATCTCGTCTGAAACCTTGTCGACACGTCAAAAATGATTTGTCCGGAACAATTCACTCTGCCGGGTATAAGTTTTGCAGAGCGACTGCTCTTCAGCCTGTGTCGAAACATTCTCTACAATAGACACCGCTAAATTTCCAATAAACAAAAACAATCTTTTCATTTCAAAAAGCTGGCAAATCGCTTGTCCATGGCGGCTTTAGCTAGTGTCGAGTACCGATGTTCCGATTTATGTTGATGTTATCTCCAACAAACAGTCCATTTTTTCCAGTCAGATCCGCACGCAGTCATTCTCAATAAATTGGCCTTCCCTAGTCTCCACTGCTCGATCTCCAATTATACTTTGAAGACTCTGATCTCATAAACCGTCGCACAAACACAATTCCAATAAATATCAGTCCAAAGCATTTGTACTCTGTGACCACAAATCAGATGAGACCAGATCTGTTACGCACGAAAACAAAGCATACCTGGTTTGATTGATGTTTCAAATGCTAAGTAATCAACACTACCCGCACTGCGCCAATCAGAAGCTGCATTAGTGGGCGAACGCAGTTTTTCAAAACCGTGGGGTTTGCTCTTGTCCTAGCTTTCTAGACGAACCTCGCGAGGAAATGCTTGCTACGCAGGCTATGTATACAGTCACTGGTCACCCTGTATACGGTAAAAACCCCCAACTAAGAAACTGCGTTTTCCCAAGTTTGCCTAAACAGGTTCTTACATAAATGGTAATTAGCACAAATTTGGGCTACCGGTATTTAGGTTCTTATTTTCTACAGAAAAAAATACATTGAAGATAGAGCATTTAGTGGTATGCACCTTATTCCTTCATTACAGTTGGAGTGATAATTATAAGTCTCCTATGTCTTCAAAGGGGATCCTGAATGTTGACCTATCTTATTTGCCCAATTAAAAAGAATTTTCTTCATAAAATTTAGAAAATAAGAACCTGTTCCATATTTTAGGCTAAACCGGTTCTTGTATAGAGGGGGCCTAACTCGAAAATTTTAGCCTAACAGGTTCTTAAAAACCAGGTTCTTAGTCGCGGGTTTTTACTGTACTACAGTCACTGGAAAACTTTCCAAAATTTTCAGTTGCCTTATATTTTCTGCAAAGTTGACCTGTTATACTGGTCACCCTAAATACAACGGTCACCTTGCCATTTCCCAAGGGTGACCGTTGTACACAGGTTTGACGGTATCTGTAAAGCGAGTCTGACTCAGAAATGAAACTTTGTGGGAAAAGTAATTTGGCTGCAATTGGTCTAGGGATAGCACTTGCAGGAAACACAAGCTCACCACCCTACATTGTACCTTTTATAATGTAAACTGGGAATTGTGGCAGCAGGCTTATTATACATGTCTTTTTTATTGTTTAGATTAGAGGACATCCTGGACCACATCCTTCTTCCGTGTCCTTTGCTTTAGAAATTGTCGGGATTGGCACAAATTGGTATCAACGCGACATCAAAAGATGGTAAACTAAATCTGTAGTTTTAATCAGAAACAGTTTTCTGATACATGTGAATTGGTCAGCACTATAGTCACAGCCTATTAGATAAATAAATATAACAATAAATAAGAGTTGAATAATCCTGCTTAAATAGATAAGTCAGGGAAGGATCACCTGGTATGACATACAACTAAAACTAACATAGGTCGCAATCAATCTCTGAGATCGCATGCTTAAAAAGGGGGAGTAGTACCCTCAATAATATCATTGCTTAGGTTATTTCAGTCCGTCAAAGTTCTCGAAACAAAACTAAACTTGTAAACATTGCTACACACAGATAACTGAATAAACTTGTTAGAATGAAACTGCCTCATGACTCTCTGTTTGTGAATTACATGGGCATAGGATGGCTGATGTGATTATTTATGGCTTTCCACATAACAATCAACTTTGTGATCAGTCTATGCCTCTGAAGAGACACACACGCCAGCTCATTAAGTTATTTGTAACAACCCCTTGGGACCTTGAGTAACAAGACTTAACCCATCTTGCTGATCTGCATTGCACCTCTTCTAGTTCTAAAATATCCTTAGCGAGATACAGGCCCCACTAACTGCTACCGTATTTTAAGTGTTGTCTTATGAGTGATTTATATGCCCTCTCCTTGACTGTTAATTTAAGCTAGAGTTTGATCAGAGGTTAATTCAACACCTGATTAGGGATGGTGTGAGACAAGGGAAATAGAGGATCCTTGAACTATATAGTTAAAATTGTTATCTAGTGGTTAGACTTGTTAGATCTCATACAAATCTTCATACCAGCCATTGAAACACAACATCTCACAATGTTGTAATGTTTATAGTCGCAAATAATTTGTAAGCTTGAGGTGCCTGTGATAATATTAAAAAAAATGTTGAATTGATAAACAAACCGGGTTTACAGGATGGTCAGGGCTTACAGTGAAGCCCAAGGCAAAACTGACAAAATTATAATCAATGGCAAATAACAAAAGCGATGTTTAATTTAACTTATTTACATGAAATTCAGTAGTTTATTCCTAATTTCTTCCAATAAAACATGACAAAGCAGGTCTGGGGTCATAAAGTTTATTCACACCTTGAAAGTGACCAAGGGGTGAGTGATGGCATGAGATAAAACATGGACTGGACTGGACTGGATTGTTAAAAACATGGACTGGATTAATAAAACATGGATTAATAAAACATGGAGTGATAAAAAATAGATTAATAAAACATGAAGTGATAAAACATAAAGTGATAAAACATGAGAAAATGCAAAGGGGGACAGGCCGCACATCCATACCGGCGTGAAACCTTGTGTTAACCTTTTATATTTTAGCTCTAACGAGCATGTCCTTTAGGGATTTTCCTTTCTTGTAGGAAATGATATAAACGGGCAACAAATTCAACAGGAATATGCGTGAACTGAATAAATTGTCTGTTGTACATTAAAGGTTCTGCTCAACTTACACATTGTTCCCCTACTGAACATGAACTTCACCAAGCCATATCTTGTTCCGCTCGGCATAGAAACTATATCATCGTTCAAATTTTAAAGTGTAAAATCCATGAAAGAGTTCTTCTCCCTAGGGCAACATGTAAAAGGTTTTCAAAGGTTTCACCCTGGTGAAGATGTGTGGTCTGTTGCCCCTTGCTGTTTTTCGTCATTTTGGTAAGCAATTTCTACCATGTTGATTGGAGGAGGAAATGAAATTGATGGTGCAATTTCCTGTCATTGTCTTTCTCTCTCTTGCGCGCGTGATACTTTGCCGGCACTGGTCAAAAGACAACATCAATTTTCACAGTTTGAATAAGTAATGAAACTGTCTATTTTATACGAAATACTTCTGTTGCTGGCAAACACAAGTGACCCTTTTGAGAAAAAGTAAGATAAAATATAACTGGCCCTAATTAATTTCATTTCCGACTGGAAATACTGCATAAACATAACATCAAGTCAAGCTTGTCATATTCGGATCCTATGAAACCTAGGAAAATTAAACCCTTTTCATAAATCCTTGTTATGTGACTCCACGTTTTATTAATCCATGTTCTATCACTACATGTTTTATTAATCCAGTCCATGTTTTACCAATCCAGTCCAGTCCAGTCCATATTTTATCACATGCCGTGAGTGACAAGTAGCAAAGACCCTTTAGAAAGCACTCGAATGTCTGAGGTTGATCAAATGACGAAACCAAAGTAATCAAGAATTGAAACAAAAAATAAATGCTTCGCTCTGAGCACTTAAGTATAACCTAATTCATTTGAGGATTTTGTTACACACCAGCTACCCACACAGGTGCCTTTAAAGTAATGTGTGTCAGCTACAGAAGTTTAAAATTGTAACACAAGTAAACAACTTACAAAGAGCTGATAACTCCTCCACTTATGGCTTGAGAAAGGATCTCTGTAAGAACTTTTGGCTTTAGCATTTTCACCTGTGGAAACTCCGGCAACTCTACTTCACGAGGTTTGTCAAACGGATAAGCATGTGACATTTATTCTGGTAAAATATTCGCTAAAATCTCAGCGAGCAAAGTGGTCATCTGACCGCCTCAAGCAATTTTTAAAGTCACGTGCCTCGAACTTTAATTTCTTCCTTATGTAAATGTCTCAATGTGTCCCGGTGGCACAACCGCTCGCTCCGGAATTATGCCCTTCCCGGGAAGTATTTTACTTCGGAGCGCTGTAATTAGCTACGGGGTGGGGTTTAGCAGACTCTTACAAAATACCGCACCGCGAGGTCCCCCAAAAAGTTGCAAAATACCCTACCGCGGGGACAAGGAGAAAATTATGTTCTCTCAGGGATGGGCTCCTCGTTTTCTTAAATTACAAGGGGTTAAAAATAAAAATAAAATAAAATAAAAAATATAATATGTTGTAATAAATTAATAAACATCGTCATCTCTTCAACATAAGTTCTGCTTTTATAATTTAGAAAAAACAGCAAAGAATATGGAAGTTTCAGTCTTGGACAGTCAAGTCATGCAGTCATGTTTCTTCGGAGAAGTAATATTACTTGACCTTGCAAAATATAATCGACTTCTGCCCTGATGTGACAAGAAAACAAATTGGTAATATAACACCAGACGCTCGTAGCTACATCTGTTGTTGTTGGTTTTTGACAAACTTAACAGCAAATGCCCCATAACTTGTTACTGAATTTAACCCGCTCAGAGAGAGTCCAAGATGAAATGGAATAAAATACAGATAATGCAAAATAGTACGTCTAGGTTACCTACCCGAGCCATATTATGATGTAGGTCGTGAAAATGGGACTCGTTCTCTTTACAATTTTGAAAGGACAGTCAGTGAGTACAATAATTCATCAAGAGAAAGTCTTGGAAAAGAGAAAATGGACCGAAATGGTGGACTGAGAACCTTCGCTTCTGTCATGAAGTTATTGCTTGAATTAACACGTGAAATACGCTTGATGATCTTTATGTCACGGGACAATCGGAAGTACGTTTTATAAAAAAATATGGTATTCGCTCTTTATCAGATTTATCAAAAGACCGTTGAGATTTTTTTCCATTTTTCAAACACTAGATGGGAATACAGCCTCGTTTTAAAGAGGATCCAGCGAAAACAGACGTTTCGTCTCACTCATCGCCGCTGGGGACGTTTCGCGAGGAGGAACGTCTGCAACTCAGCGACAGAAATTCCATACCGATGACGTAAAATCTGTCCGGAATCCGGTCATAAGCGCTGTATGATTGGACGACGGAGTAGTTGCATTGTTTTAGCTTTTGTTGACGAATGACAGACAAAAGACAAAAGGCTACAAAGGTCAAATGTAAACGCGGTGAATCTATAACAAAAACAGTCAATATTGTGGAATATATTCTTCTCTGCAAGAAGCATTTGAGTTTTGTTGGAGCTTGTTCGCAGATGAACACAACACTTTAACAAAACTGAACAAATTTGCATTTGGAACCCCCCCCAGCGGGGGGGGGGGGTACTTCCTTATAAGAGGCTAATGGGGATGTGCCGCTGGATGGGGTCTCATTTTCACGACAGGATTGACTATAATGGGGTCGCATTTTCAATAGCGGTTACTAGAATGGGGTCGCACATTTTCGGATTTTTCGCAGGCTACCTAGCCCGAGAAAACAGACATTTCGCGACGCCACCACCGGTTTCCCCTCGAAATGACGTCAAACTTGCCTCAACCAATCAGAAGCAATATTTTGATAAGGGTATTGACACGTCAGTATGATATTTCTCTGCAGTCGTTTCTACACCATTTTGCGGGGAAACCAGTGGTAGCGTCGCGAAATGTCTGCTGTTTTCTCGAGCTAGAATAGGCCATTTTCGAGTTGCCCGAAGTGTCTGTTTCAAAGCGAGGCTAAGTGTGCAAATTTGAAACTGAGAGTGTTTGAAACTCGGGAAATAGCCTGAGCCTGTTGACACAGCCCACACACCATCGTTTTTTTACTCTCACGAGCCTGATCGGGCAACAAGACGCGTCAAGCATAAAAAAAGCTCTTTATGAAGGTCGCATTGCGACATCTGGGTTTTGGACTGGTAGCAGCATTCGTGATTAAATAGTTCGGCAGGAGCCCATCACTAATTTTATAGTTATTTTATTTATTTTCCCTGTTTTGATGGACACAGGCCTGCCCAGAGGGAATGGGCACGAACGGGACTCAGGTCCCATCCCTACCCAATCCCACAACCCCTAAAAGTTGGCAACACCACCGGGGTCTACGTCCCCTACTCTTTTCGAACAGTGGTGTAGGTTCTTCTACGTCCCACAAGAACAGATCAGTGAAAGTGCTGTGAGACAGACGGTTTTTCGTCCTTATCCGAGAAGACTAGAAAGTCTAACCATTTGCAGATGTCATTGCAAATGCAGCACTTTCTCATGAAAAAACAATACACGTTGTTGTGAGTCAGCTCTGCAGTAGTCTTTGGACTTCTCGTTCTTGGTACTTTCAAATCAGTTATTTTAAAGACCCTGAGTGCTGGCCGGGTCGGGGTTTGAACCCGCGACCTCCCACTCAGCAGATCGGCGCTCTCCCAACTGAGCTAACCAGCACTGAGCAAGTTTTTGTGATAACAACAATTCCACCACTCTTCTTCCAATCTCATTTAGCCACTCCTGAGCACCCTTTGTCTTTTCATTAGTTTTTACCATTGAATTGGCCGTTTTTACCTCAAGTCGCTTGGTGCAGGAGCAGAGGTTTTGCAATTGCCCAGAACACGTGTTATGGACGATGTTGAAAGGGTTGCATGTTTTTAATTGCGGCTTTTAGTTAATACAAGTATTACATTCGTCCCTCAAAAAGTAACTGAGCCAAAAAAAAGAATGTTTTATTAAAGGGTGTGGTGACAACATAGGCTCCTGAAATGACCTATTGACACAGCCCACACACCATCGTTTTTTTACTGTCACGTGCTTGGCCGCGCAACAAGACGCGTATTAAGCATAAAAAAGAAAACTCTTTATGAAGGTCGCATTTCGACATCTGGGCTTTGGACTGGTAACAGCATTCGTCCTGTTCGGCAACCATTAATTATATCTGACGCCAGGCGTTCGGCCATCAAAACAGTCAGAGCGAAATGATTACTTCAAGTTTAATAATTCACTCCTAGGTCAAGAACAATATCCTAATATGGAGCTAAAATAGAACAATATAAAATCCTATATTAAACATTCCCGGGAAACTGTTTTATTCTTTTAACTTTCTATAACTTTCTACTAATAAAAACTATCAAGGCAAAAAATGTTTTTAGCAAAAGATAACAATACATCCTAATTAGAAAAAAAAATTACGATTCATCAACTCGACAATATTTATTTTTTAGAAAGTAGTTTGTTCATTATCATTATTTAACTCTGTCTTTCAAAAGGAAGATACAATAATCGGTGACTAACAAGTCAGTTTATATATATATATATATATATATATATCTTATTTTAACAGACATTAACCTTTAAAATAAAACAGGAAATAACGGGAACACTTCAATCAAGCCTGTTTTGATTAAATTAAAAATTAAAGTAAAGATATCGATAAAACAAAGCTATAAAAGTTAAAGTTTGAGATAAAATCAATGACACGCATCTCTTCAGAAAGAAGCGGCATAATCAAACGCTAATACAAACAAAATTTGACAACTTTGAGGAAAACCCAACGTTTTCGACTCTAGATTCTCGAATGATTTCAAAATTCGAGCCAAAAACAGATGGGGCGACTACTCGAGCGGTTTCTGAACTGAAAAGAAAAAGAAAAAAAAAGCGTTTACATCTTAATCATACGTGTTTTCGTCAGTGCTTCCTTCCCTCGCCAATGGAAACCGGGCCGAATTACCTGTCACAAAGACTTCTGGGAAACTTACTGACCGGCAAGTCCCTAGTAACGATCCCAGAAGTCTTTGCGAAAGTTAACTCGCCCCAGTTTCCTTCTCTCTCTCTGTTTCGTCACGCAACTTCTTGAGGAGGAGCATTGGGTAACGAGAAAAAACGGCTGCGAGGGAGACTGCCTTCTCAAACGCTGCCCAAAGCGCAAGGATTTCAACCAGTTGGAATCATTGCGACCAAGTACATGCTAGCCATATGCCTTATGCAAAGGCGTTTACAAATGTGATTCTACTGGGCCTTGCTACCAAGTAAACAGAAAATAATCGCTCCTGTTTATATCGCGCCGCAACTAATCTAGGAAGAACCTCTTTCTATTAGCTAGAAGTTCGCAATGATGATTATAAATCAGCTCAACGATCTCGGTTCTACAAAAATTCAGAGCGAGCCCTGGCAGTCTATGACCTTAACAGTATAGGTTATACGCTCAAAGGAGAAAAAGGAAAAAAAGGGGAAAAGATAAGACCTGCTTGGTCCCCTTCCCCTTTCTTCGCGCTCCACGCTCCACGAGCTTAGCGTGAGTTGAAATACCCTTCCACTTTACTGGCCCCATTCGCGCAGGCCACAGCACTATATAGTCGTATTGATACTACAGGAAAGACTATTCAACTATTGTAACCAAGAGAGGATTAAGGTGAGAGAGCGAATCCTCCAATTGGGCTTTATCCCGTTCATTATTCCTGCTCATGTTATTTTTAGAAACAAATTACGAAACTTTGCAGTTTTGAGGTAGATCGCACATTTCACTGATTTCTTCTTTTTTTAGCTTTAAGATTTTAGTGTAAAGGACTTTCAGATACCGTCGGTATTTATCACATAATAATTCAACCACGAATTACTGGCGAATTTATGGCGCCTCTTTAACATACGTCAAGACCTGAAAAACGCAAACCAAAATTCAGAAAATAAAAAGTTTACCAATGTTAAAAGATTTAAGGGAAGTCATGTTATAACTTTCAAGATTACTGTCAAGAATGTTCATCTAATCTGCAGTAAAACAATTTCTTTCGGTAAGGGGGAGAGTGTGGGATCACTAGAATTCCCTCGTGGTGGGAGGGGGGGGGGAAGACAGGGTTCAGTCTTCCCCGTCCTCCACCCCCTGCTCCGACCTTTCGCCTAATGCCCACCCTATCGATTACACTTCTACTCTTCAATCTTCCTCCACTTTCAAAATCCAAGATGGCCACTGGAGAGCTCCATGACCCGAAAAAATACGTCACCGCCGTTTTGCTATAAAAATAACTTGAAATTCAGTTAAGGCCTATATTGTGG